CGGGCCTCATCGGCGAAGCTGCCCGCACCCGGGAGCGGTGCCCGGGGCCTGCCTGGGCCCAGGGCGCTGCCCTGCCTCCGCCGTGCCGCGGTGGGGCGAGAGGGCTGAGGAAAGAGAGGCTTGGGCGGGGGAGGAGGGTGACCGTGTGGGGGGAAGCCGGCCCCTCGCGTCGCCTCGGAGGCTTCTGTCCCCTGCGGGGGCAAACGCTGCCCTAATGACACAGCAGGGCTGTCACTCGTGGGCTCCACGCTGTGGCACTAGGAAACGGTTGATGTATCCCGTGCATAGGCCAGTACGCCCTTCGAAGAGAAGGCTTCAGCTCTCACAGGTGACTTCTTATTGCAGGCAAGACTCTCCAGCCTCATGAGGCAATGGAGCAGGCGCTCTTTGGTGGGTGCCGGCGTGCCGTCGCACAACAGCCGACAGGACGCGTTTGTAGGCCGCGGTGTCAACCCAGAGGATGGATCCATCTGGCAGACCAGCAGCTAGGAGAGACCTGTTCTGTGGGAAGGGGGAAGGACAGATTTGCTGTGCTTGCAGCAGCTTGTATGAAGTGAGTAAACACACTGCAGTCTTCCCCTCGTGAAGTTTCTGTAAAATAACATAAAATAAAAAAACCCTTTTGTTTCCCTACTGTCAGGCAGATAAGATGATGATAGTGTGAATACTTTAAGCCCTTTCTTCATTAGTCACAAGGAGATCATAGTCAGAGTAAGGTTAGAAAACAGTATCTCCTCCTGCTGCTTTATGAGTAGGAAGATCTTAGTGCTTGTAGTTTACAAATGAGTTACCCAGCAGTGGGAGCTGTGAACCTAACCTAACAGTGAGCCCAAACAGTTGTGACTTGCTCAGTGTCAGCTTCAGCCAGATGCTTCTTCATTCACAAAGTGAACTACCTCAAACAGTGGGCCACCCATCATAGTGGTGTGGATAAGCACTGGTGATAAGCATGTATTCCTCTATATATAGAGGATGTGTGTGTGTATGATGTGTCCTAACTAACAACTGAAGCAGTTAATAAGAAAGCTGATATTATGAAGAAATGTTCATATTGTGACTGGAAATGAGCCAACCTTGATTGAAATAGGTGGGGAAGGTTGCTTTTTTTTTTTTTTTTTTTTTTTTTTAATAGTACATCTTTTCCCCAGTTACAAAATGGAGTTATGAGTTTTGCTTACCTTTGATAGAATTTACAGTCTCAGATGGAAAATATTCTACTGGAGCTACAGATTCTTCCAAACCTGTCTTAAAGGCATTGCAAAGGTGACAATTATTCTAGGATAGGCCCGCTCTTTATACCTACTCTTCTTATCCACTAAACAAATAATTTTTTCACGTTCCCTCTGAAGTAGACAGTACTTTTCCTCCCAAATTATAATTGAGGGTAGATGAATGCCCTAACGACCTCTTATTTTAAGTAATGCCAACAAAACTTGCTGTGTGCTAGGTGTAATGGGGAACTCATGAATATGAATCCATCCGTGAAGAGTACTTTATTGTTCCCCAAATAATTGATGTATTGCCTGAGGTGTACAATTCTTCAGGAAAATGTTCTGATTCAATTAGAAAGAATGGAAAGGCCTTAAACTTTATCTGGTTTGTCTGTTTACCTGTTTATCATTGCTAATCCAAGGGGCATAGTTTCTCTCATCACTTTGTAACTTCACAAGTTGATTCATTATCTAATATAACCAGGCTGTCATGCACAATATCATGGAAATCACATCATGAGTACATGTCTTCTTAGCATACTGTAAGTTGGCATGCACACTGCAAGCTTTAAAAGACCAAATAGCCTTTCCCATGGTCATCAGTTAGTTTTAAAGTTATAGTGATCTGTTAGTTTTCAAATTACCATGGACTCTTCATAAGTAGACAAAACCTGAATGGTTCAAATAAAAGTCAAGCAGGGGAAAAAAATAAACTAAAACCGAGTCTTCTCAAAAGGAAAATCTGTTTCCACTTAAGTGCAGGAGGTCTTTACGGAAAAGATCTAATCTTTTTTAATTCACTGCTCCAGAAATATACCAAGAGGTTCTTCAGGGCTTTCTGTTCTACTATTTTTGGTTCAAAGATGATGGTAGATATAACAGATACCAGCGTTTCCTCTGTCAGTGCAAACTTGCAGAATATCTTCACCACAAGAAAAAACCAAACCAAAACCAAACAAAAACGCCAACACATTAAAATCTCTATGTAAATATGGAATCTAGCTACTCTAGTTTTTTTGCGGTAGTACAAGTAGGTAAGCTTAGACGCATAGTGTTGATGGGCCTGGAAAAAGTTACCCTGAGCCAAAAACTGTCCTATGCCCTTTATTCAGGTTTTACATTGTTAGTTCTAATTGGTTGTCTCAGTGTAAAAATGGGCCTCTTTTTGCAGTGTAACTATAACCTTTAAATATGGAATCTAGCTACTCTAGTTTTTTTGCGGTAGTACAAGTAGGTAAGCTTAGACGCATAGTGTTGATGGGCCTGGAAAAAGTTACCCTGAGCCAAAAACTGTCCTATGCCCTTTATTCAGGTTTTACATTGTTAGTTCTAATTGGTTGTCTCAGTGTAAAAATGGGCCTCTTTTTGCAGTGTAACTATAACCTTGTTCTTCTCTTTTAACCAATTGTATTTTGTGGCTGTATCTGGCTTTGTGTGGTAATTATCTGGTATTCCATAACATCCCATTAACAACAAGTTTTGGATGCAGGGGGAGTAAAAGGGGGATTAACTGTAAAAAGTGCCTCTAAATAGTATCTACTCTTGCTACTGTTAGAGACAAACTAGGGGACCAGGTGGATAACTGGCCTGACCCTGTAGGGTATTTCGTATGTTCTGATGTAACTATGTTTTGTGTATGGGAGTTTATCATGCAGCCTTTGAATCAATATAGCAAACATATGTGAGTGAAGAGCCACCTCTGAATCTGCATGGGATGATAATGAGCATCCTAGGTCCTCCTATAAAACCAGAAAGCTCTTGCAAGCATATTCAAGTGTGGTAGCCCAGCACAGATAAACATTTAACTGATGTGGCTGTGAATTAATCTAGTCATTTTAGTTTACTAGTACTTACGTAGAAAGAAAAGGGGAAAGACGAGGAGCTTCTAACGCCAATCTGTTGGAGATCTCTGAGTCTATTCCTACTATGAATATTCTCTGGAAGGTGAATTCTCTTATGCACCTTTTACTTGTAAACAGTATACCTAAATATTTCTTCTTAAAACTATTACATAACTTTTATTATTCCTGAGAAACACTTACACTGAAATTAAGTTAACATTTTCATCATAAATTATACCAAAAATGTTACTTTTATAAATAAATGATTAACATTACAGGAAGGGGGAAATCATTATTTGCATCAACAAAGGTTCAGATCTTGCCAAGAGGTGAATTTTACCTTGGGATGGAGAAGAACAAGTACTGGAAACAATTGTCTGCTGGTTTAACTTTTCTGAAGTCAGAATGATTATATCAGCAGAAACTTCAGTCTGTTACTTGCAAAATAGAGGGAAAATTAAATTACTCAGCAAAGTTAGTCAGCAGCTGTAAACCACTGCAAATGGACACCTCTGCATTTGTTCTGAGGCTTCTTAAATATCTCAGGTGCTGCAGAGTAAATCAGTAAAGCAGACTGTCTTGTCTTAGTTCAATCCTAAATGTCTAACTTGGCTGTAGACTGCAAGGAGACAAAAGAAAAGTACTGCAGACCAGAACTCTGAAGTTGGAGAGCAGGAGGATTACTATCAGAAATTACTCCAAATTCCAAAGGCTTACCTGACCAAACTTTATTATAACCGAGTAGTTGCTATGGAAAGATGTGAACAAAAAAAAAGAGGGAGAAAAATTCAGTTGTGCTGGTATGTGCATGGCATATGCACAGCAATACAATTTGCTGGTAAGTTTGACTGAATGAACAATAATTCCCAGTCCTGTAAATATGTTCTTACATGTCTAATATAGCTTCAATATTTAAAATAAGTATTAAATCACCTAATGAGGCAATAAATAGAACTGGTCTGAATTTAAAAAATACAGAAACAAGCCTGTAAAGATCAAAGTGACAGCAAACTATTTCTGGACACAGCTCTAGCTTTTATGATTTTTTATTTAAAAAAGAACAGAGAATGAGAATACGCCCACATATAAACTCCCAATATCTTTCTTTCTTCCTTGTTTGAAGATCTAGATCAGAACTTCCAGGATTGTCTGTAGATGGAACACAACTTTCTAGTGCTTCAACTTCTGCTTTCTTAGGCTTCATAATGGATAATCATGGAAAAATAATTTTGCTTTCCTGGAACTCTTCTTCCTTGTGGGATAAGGGAGATGTGAGAATTTTCAGCAGTGTTTTTTGTCTGAAAGGAATGATCTAATGTTTCTTCAAGGAATCTTTAAAAATTAAAAACCACACCTATACACAAACGTGCATATATCTGCTGATGGAAAAGGGTGACATGATTAACGATGTGTAAGACCTTCTGAACCCTGCTGTTATTTTCTTCAAATAAATGCATATGGGAGTAGATGATTCATCCTGCGAAGTACAGACTCCTTGGTTTCAAATACTTTCATTGGAACTTCTTTGCCTAGACATCAGGGTGTTGGGGTTATTTATTTATTTCTGTATGAGTCAGAAGTTCTGAATAATGTTTCTGCTTAGTTGACCACAGAAGTAGGAGACAAAGCTCCAGAAAATTTTTTGGAGAGTCAGAAATCAAATGGTGGTCAGAAAAGAGAAGAAAGAAAAAGAAAGAAAAAATAGAAGGGGGGGATAGATAGCAAGATGCACAGACTTCATAAGTGTTTATTCCCAAGAGATGGAAAATTCATAGGTTTGGTTAGTCAGTAAATGAACATCCACCAAATCCTAGAATTTGTTGAAAATTGTAACTAAAAATGAATATATAAATGGAGGTGGAAACAATGCTCTCACTGAAGAGTAGAAAAGTAAACACATTTTATAAGTTCACATTTCAGGCAAAAGTCAATGAGTAAAAGAAGTATTAACCAAAGATGGAATAGCACTTAATAACGTTTTGTAGATGTTTGAACAGGTATCCAGTTCATAGCAAATGAAAAATCACAGACCTTGAGACATCTAGTTCAGCCTTTTTTCCACGGAAGGACCAACTGTCCCTACGACATTCCTGGCCAGTATTTGTCAACCTCTTCTAAAAGTACTCTGTTGATGGAAATCAAGCTTTTTCATGGGCTGTTTCACTATTCTCACTAAAAGAAAGATTTCACCCATTATTTCTCCTCTTCCTGTCACCAAAGGAATTTATTCCCTTCCTCTGCGCAACTACCTTAAAATTACTTGAACACTATTTTCAGCTCTCACCATCAGTCTTCTCTAAGTAACTAAGAAAGTTACTTCAGTCTTCATTCATAGATCACGATTTCTAGACACATGTCAATAAGCATAAAGTCACTGCTGAAGGGACAGAGGGATCTTTGGTGGTTTTTAGAAGAGCTCCAAGAGCACTGTGTCTAGGTGCTGGGTTTTGTCTATTTGAGAGCTTCAGAAACTTGGTGAGTCCCCCCCTTTTTTTTTTTTT